GGTAAGTGCTGAACCAGTAAGAGGTCTGAACCAGTGCTGAACCAGTAAGAGGTCTGAACCATTAAGAGCTAGTATATTGCTTAACTATTCAGAGGCAAATGTCTGATCAATTCAGATAAGAGGTCTTAACCATTCAGACTCTGTATAATACTTAACCATTCAGAGGCAAATCTCTTAACCATTCAGACATCTGAACCATTAAGAGGCTGAAACAAACAGTCTGAACCATTAAGTGCTGAACCATTCAGACATCTGAACCATTAAGAGGCTGAAACAAACAGCCCCTTAATATCCTGAGTCGACAACCTTGTATTTTGGGTCCTGAGACCTGAATCGATAATACACCTACTTAAGAATATTGAGTTCCACTCTTTAAAAAGAAATTCAAACTCCCCACGGGACATCACAAAGTCATTCATAGCTTGAGCTCTATTCACAAGCAACCTTGTCCACTCCTACAGATTGCCAAAATAACTTACTCCAATGCCATGCACATGCTGCACAGATGTCACACTTGTTGGGTGGTAGTAGAAAGAACCATCAGAAACTGGAGATGCAGGAGTTAGAGGTGCTTGGGAAGGAACAAAACTCTTAGCATTGGGGTTTAGTCTGAACTCCTGTTAGCATTCAGCAAAAAATGGAAAATAATTAGGCAAATAAGATTCCGAACTATGTGAAGTCAAACCATAAATCCCTCCTGACAATTAAATTTACACACCCTGTTTCTGCCCGTTTCAAAATAAACTTTACACCATCTCTTTTCAGGAAAGGAATATGTAGCTCATGATATTTCTCTCCCCTAAAAAATCTACCAACAAATTTTTCACATTTCAACACTTTTCTCGAACTATGTGAAGTCAAACCATAAACTTCTTTGTCAAAGGGAGGGTGTAAGAATTATGGAATGAGACAAAGAATGAAAACAATGCTTAAAACGGCCAGAGATTGTAGTACATAAATTTATTCCCTAAAAATCAGCATTACATGTGAGTAGACTCATTTAAAACAAAGGGGGTAATGCATACATTTATTCCATAAAAATCAACATCAAATTAGTGGATATATTTTAACAGGAAGCGATAATTTGAATGAAAGTTTCATTCGAAGAGGAGAAAATGAGAGCTGCCATCTACTTACCTTAGCGTTTGGATTCAAATTTGATTTTTCTGAGGCCAATGAACTCACAGACGAATTTCTTGATAATCCAGGATCAACTGAAACTGGAGTACCCCCTCCACCTGATGTGGATAAAACTGAAGTGTGAAAATCAGCAGGCTGTGACATTCCCCTAATCTTCCCCCGGTTCTTGGTCAGTGAAGTAAGTGGATTGACATCTGAAGATTGTTCACTCTTATCTGATGGTTCCTTTTTGGCTTCCTCGGATAACATTAAGTCCTCACGGGTAGCTGCCCCAGAAAAATAAAGAAACAAATAAATAGATAAAAAAATCAACAAGCCATTTCATAGCTTAGACAGATTGAAGAAGATAAGAGGAATATTGTTCTATCACAGTATTATTTTGTTAATTGAACTCAATTAAAAGTACAACACTAAGCTGTTCTTTTGTTCGGTTAACTCATTTCACTATTTTTATTCTTACTTTAACCAAATCAGACAACAGAAACACTTGGATTGGACCAGACCAGAAAATTTCATACCAGACAAATCCAAAAAGATACAGATCATGCTAAATCTTATCCTTTGTACGGAGTATTTCATACAAGAAATGTAGAGAAAACCAGAAAACATTTATTCAGATCTGAACAAAACATTCAGGCCAAACCAAAAAAATTAGGACCAGACCACTTCAGACCAAACCAGATCTTAAATTTCAGATCAAATCGCATATTTCAGGTGAAGAGAACAGGTCCTAACATCATATAGTATAGTTACCCTCAGGTTTTAACCCCTCACCTCCCTCATCAGCCAGCTGCACAAATTAAAAAGAATTGAAGTACTTTTATCAGCAACAAGATACAAGCTGTAAAATGAAGTCAAAAGAAAACTACACAACAAGAAATAAGATTTAGTCTCACCATTTTCCTTCCAGTAATTTCGGTTGAGCAATTACCGCCAGTATGTTCAGTTACTTCAGTAATCTGAATATCATGAACGCTGTAACAGGGCTCTCAATTAGAGACATTCGAACAACATAAAATAATTACTATGAAACTCCATTCAAAAGACCCAATTTACTAGCTGTTAAACATTTAGAGTTTAAGGCTAGGAAAGTGGCGAGAGCAACCACCTGCAATGGAGGCGGAAGCTAAAGAGAAAAAAACAGAAGAAAAAAAAGAAAACAATTATTTGCATTGAGTGATTGTAGTGGGATCCAACTGGGTTGTTGTTGTTGTTGAGTCTGATAGTAGTGATATTACAATGGTATAATAGTACAAAACGCATTTTATACAGAAAAGATAGGGAAATTAGAACTCTATAGTGTGAATATGAGTTGTCTTATTGTGTGGGTAGGAATAAGCTGTAAAGTGAATGGTTTATATAATACTACGTAATTCATTTGTAGTAGTATTTTGAGCAAAAAGAGTCTAGTAATTGATAAAAGCTATAAATACAATGAATACGAGCGAAACCTTCTGTCATTCATAGCATTAACACATTCTCCCTGATAATCTTTAGCCTGGTTATAAAAAGCTGAAGAGATATCCCCACGAGTACTCGATATAGACAATCGAGCTTCATCCTACACATTACAACTCAAATAGATAAAAACTAACCATCGCACTTCGGAACTCATAGAGAATTCTAATACTAATATGTTGTACAAGTCTCGTCTTATTTGTACTACTTTCCTTTTAAGACCGTCCCAAAACTATTTACACCTCCCTCTTTTAAATCACTAGATAAAACTAAAAACGGTATGTCTAAAATTGGTTATGTGCAATGAGCCGCAATTTGAAGTTGACCTATATTGACACTAGAGACACAAGACATGGACTTACTCATCTGCTCTCTATCATTATCCCTGATGAAAGAATACCCGTAAGACACTCAATCATTGAAAATTACTAGCTCAAAATATGGCTTTTTGTAAGTTCCTAGTATTTTTTATCCAACCCTTGGTCACACAAAAAAAAACATCAAAGTATACCTAAGAGGTAAAAAATGATGGCTCATTTTTATGCTGAAATTAGAATCAAACTAACCAACCATAAGATATCACTGAACAGAATTATACCATGGACGAAGTTTGTGCTGGTTCTTGAACATCATTAGATTTTTTGCTGCTCGTGCTGATGAATGATTCCCCTGTGGCTGTACTAAATGTTTCATCATTGCATTTATCCAATAATATGTCCTCGCAATCATCACAACCACTATCATCAACCCCCCTAAAGACTGACGAGTACAGAGTTTCCTCATCAATTTCAAGGTTTCCATGAAGCTGAACTCCTCTTTCCTGCAATGAAAATGTGAGAGGTAGTTCATAA